CATCACCACCACACCTGCACCACCAGCCCAGCAGCACCACCACCAGCCCACACCATACACCAGCCACCACCACCACTGATTTCCCGCTCTCCTGCCGAACGTTAAACGACGTCCTCTGGGGTCGCGTTCCGTCGCTCGTCTCGTCCTGCACGAGCGCTCGCTCGCCACTGCTGCACGCGCGTCTGTCCATGGCGCTGCCCCCCTCCCCCTGCTGCCCCCCTCCCCTGCTGCCCCCCTCCCCCTGCTGCCCCCTGCTGCTGCTCACTCTATGTGTGTGTGTGTCCGTGGGAGAGCTGGGGAGCGGCGGTGCGGTTCGTGCCCGGCGACGTGGTTGTACAGCGTCCTCCGTGACGACTACACACACATCGACAACACAACACAGACAACAGAGACAAGTCACGTGGTTGTACAGCGTCCACCGTGACGACTACACACACATCGACAAGACAACACAGACAACAGAGACAGGTCACGTGGCTGTACAGGGCCTTTGTGACGTCTACACACATCGACACGACATAGGCGACCCGAGGGTTCTGTCCCCGCTAGCGGCCACCACCGGTGACGGTCATCTGGACCAGCGCTGGGCCTCCCCTAGGTCGACTCAGCCTCTCAAAACGAGCACCTGGTGCGGTGTGTAAACATTTCTCCACGAGGAAGACAAAGGCGGCCAGGCGTGTTCCTGGCCGCCTACACCCCCTCGTGTGCCGTGCCGACCTTCACAGGTGGCTTCTCGCCAGAACACCACTTTGCCCCTACAGTCTGCTAAGGCTATGGGGGTGGGGGGGATCTTTGTCTTTGGGTGGGTGACCGTCTTCTGTCTCATCATCCACCCGTCATCATCCAATCCCGTTAAGCCAGCGACTCCCCCCCCCCACGTCAACGCCGTCACGTGACCCATCGGTGTTGACCGTCAGTCCCTTCGCGTGCACGGACTTCCGTCCGTCCATCCACAGCGGCGTCTCCGAACGTAGAGATTACGTAGCCGGCGCTCATGATGCGGTTGGCCAAACACACAGTGCCGGATGATCCTCGTAGCAAAAGTAGCTAAATATGTATTAGCTACTACACGTGTAGCAGCTACTACACGTGTAGTAGCTACTACACTGTAGTAGCTGCTACACGTGTAGTAGCTACTACACGTGTAGCAGCTACTACACGTGTAGCAGCTACTACACACGTGTAGTAGCTGCTACACGTGTGTAGTAGCTACGGGCCCCGCACTTTCAAGAACCCCACGCTAAATGCTTTCAAGTTATCAATTCCGGTTCAGTGATTCTGCACCTGCTCTATTACTGTACTATACTGCCTTCGACTTTTATTAACGACTGGGTGTTCAAGGTTAGCGGTTTGTCGTATTATCTGCCTGTTTAGCACGTGAAAAAATACCATTACTTTACTGTGCAAGTAAAAAATGTGTGAATATTCTGTGTTTTTTTAAATATCATTTAGGGCTTCTTCATAACACATATGCTACAGGCCCCGCACTAGCTTAATCTGGCACTGCAAACATCCCCCCACAAACGTAGGACGCCAGAGCTTGGGGGGGGGGGGGGAATTGTTGGCGGCCGGCGGATTCGGGTCCCCACTTTCCCCCCGCGCTTTGAGATGCGGTTAAACGTGAACGGCGCTCACTGAACGTAGACCTCAAAACACACAAACCCCCAATCGTCGTAGTATTCACGCGTGTTTGTGTATATATTGTGTATATATTGTGTATGTATGTGTGTATATATTGTGCATATATTGTATATAGTGTGTATGTGTATATATTGTGTATGTATTTGTGGCAATAGTGTGTATGTATTTGTGTATATATTGTGCATATATTGTGTATGTAATTGTGTATGCATTTGTGTATTTAATTATGTATATAGGTGTATATATGTGTGTATATATTGTGTATGTATTTGTGTATATATTGTGTATATATTGTGTATATTTGTATAGGAAGAATGTGGCCAGCTGGCACAGCGGTGTGGAGTCGAGCGGCTCGCAGCCGGAAGGTCGCGAGTTCACGTCCTGGTTGGGTGGGTTGACTCATTGCGTCATGTCGTGGGGAAGTCAACGACAACAACAATGACGACAACAATGATGATAACAATGACAACAACAATGATGATAACAATGACAACAACAATGACTACAACAATGACAACAACCACGACAATGACAACCACGACGATGACAACAACAATGACAACAGCAATGACAACAATAGCAGCATTGACAACAACAACATGACAACAAAACAGCGATAACATTCACAACAACAACAATGACAACGGATCGGGGTGCAGGGGGTAACACGCTGCGGTTGTTGGGAGGGGGGGGCGGATGAGTGAGACGTGGGTGCGTCTGCGACCCCACTTAGCCCACCGCTGACCCCGCCGGCACCGCTGATCCTAGGACAACGGCGCGGGGCGAGAGGCGGCGTCGTCGGCGAACAAAACGAACGCCGCGAGGGATGAACGAGAAGAGAAAGGAGAAGTGGGCGCACGCACGGACGCCCGTGGTGCGTGCGTGCGTGCGTGTCCCATGCGTGCGCGTCTGTGCGTGCGCCTGGCCCTGGAATTCGTTTGATTGTAACGGAGCGCTTAGGAAGCCGGCGGGGTGCGGGTAGCGAGGGGTTTTGATCCCGCGGCGATTCGTCGCTCACGGTCCGATTCGCACGGTGGGCTGCGTACGGCGGTGCGGGCCGAGTTCCACATCCGTACGTAGAACTGAAAGCCGTGAAACTACCGGGCAAGGCCTCACTGAGCTGTCGAGCTTTTATCCAGACGCGACCTGGCGGTCACAACTGATAGCTCAACAAAAGTGTCTTATCATCATCACGTGGGAATTACGGCAGCCAAGTGCTTTAGCGGAGGGAAAAACCGAAGAACCCGGAGAAAAGTCCACGCGACCACGGGGAGAACATTCAGGCTGCGAATACACAGCAGCAGGCGTCGGGGTCGGGATTGAGCCCAGAACCTCCTGTATGCCAGGCGAGGTAGTCAACATCTCGCCACCCTGGTACATCTTCTGTGCCACGTTTCAACCACCACACTTGCATGTCAGTGCGGTGGTTAACGACACGCCCGGCCGTCTTTGTTCCCGAGTGCTCATGGTTTTATACGCACCGCACCAGGTGCTCCTTTTAAGTCTGAGTCGACCTAGCGGAGGCCAAGGACCGGTTCTGATCATCGTCACCGGTGTTGGCCGTGAGCGGGAATCGAATTCGAGTCTCTGCCGGGTTCGTAGGGCAGCGCGGCGCTGACCACTGCGCCACCGCTCCCCACACGCACAATGACAAAGATTCCCCGTGTAGCCTTGTCTATGTGTAGTGTTGAGTGTGTAGTGTTGAATATATGTGTAGTGTTGAGTCTATGGGTAGTGTTGAGTCTATGTGTAGTGTTGAGTCTATGGGTAGTGTTGAGTCTATGGATAGTGATAGTCTATGGGTAGTGTTGAGTCTATGGGCAGTGTTGAGTCTATGTGTAGTGATAGTCTATGGGTAGTGTTGAGTCTATGGGTAGTGTTGAGTCTATGGGTAGTGTTAGTCTATGGGCAGTGTTAGTCTATGGGCATTGTTGAGTCTATGGGTAGTGTTAGTCTATGGGTAGCGTTGAGTCTATGGGTAGTGTTGAGTCTATGGGTAGTGTTAGTCTATGGGTAGTGTTAGTCTATGGGTAGTGTTAGTCTATGGGCAGTGTTAGTCTATGGGTAGTGTTAGTCTATGGGTAGTGTTGAGTCTATGGGTAGTAGGTGTGAGTCTATTGGTGAGTGTTACGTCTATGGGTAGTGTTAGTCTATGGGTAGTGTTAGCTCTATGGGGTAGTGTTAGTCTATGGGTAGTGTTAGTCTATGGGTAGTGTTGAGTCTATGGGTAGTGTTGACTGTATGGGTAGTGTTGAGTCTATGGGTAGTGTTAGTCTATGGGTAGTGTTGACTGTATGGGTAGTGTTAGTCTATGGGTAGTGTTAGTCTATGGGTAGTGTTAGTCTATGGGTAGTGTTGACTGTATGGGGAGTGTTGAGTCTATGGGTAGTGTTGAGTCTATGGGTAGTGTTAGTCTATGGGTAGTGTTAGTCTATGGGTAGTGTTGAC